TCAATTCTAATTGAATGTCAATACTAATGAGGTACACCGAGATGCACCAGATCAATTCTTTTTTAAAACGCAATTCATGTGTGGGCATGAGATTAAAAGGGATCAAGAGTTCATGATGTCTTTTCTTATGTTTTTCACTATAACTATCTTTCCCACACTATCCTTCGTCTCTCGCTCTCTCTCTCTCTCTATATATATATATATATATATATGTGTGTGTGTGTGTGTGTGTGTGTGTGTGCGCACACACACACTTGGGATCACGTGAGACCAGTCTGTTTTTGTGAGACCCGATAAACCATTTTTTTACACTTTAAACTTTACAACAAAACACTGTAAAGATAAAAAAAATCCGAACTTTTACAGCAAAAACACTATAAATATACTTTCACAATATTTTCCTATGAAGTTTCAAGTGTAAACAAGTGGTATCTTGGATCTCACGAAAACAACCTTCTATCAAATAAAACGCCCTTAGATGCTTTAATTAAAAATTGAAGGAAAAAAAAAAGAGTCAATATTTGAGTAATTACTAGTGTTTCAACATTCTATTCTCTAACCATTGATGCATTTAATATCCATTCCTTCAAATTTTCTGCAAAATCACTTTACTTTAACTCATACAAACAATGGAAAAAATCTAAAAGAAATTTAATATATTTTTAGTGATTAAATATTTATTTATTTTAACAAATAAAATTTTGAATTTATCAAACCCAAAAAAAAAGTAATGAAATTTAACATTTGAAACAATTAAATCCTGATATATATTCTTGAAGGATTATTTTTTTTTACAAAATAAATATAAAAATATTTCTTTTGATGTATCAAAAAAAATAAGTAACAAGTGGTAATAAACTAATAAGAACTAAATGATTATATATTATTTTTATTATTTATTTTTCATATTTAAATAGTAACTATATGATAAACCATAAACTATATAATTATTTAATAAAATTTAATTAAAAATTATAAAATCATAACAGACACTCGTATTTGTCACTTAAATCTAAAAATTAGGTAATAACTAATACGAACAGTACATTTTTTTATGTTTTATTAGTTCGTTGTATTTTACTACGATTTGTTGATGCATCAACAAAAAGATGACATGTCTCTTTCATTTTATACGTATATGAAATTATTCGTTCAGAAAATATTAAATGATTTAATCGTTCAAGATATTAAATCTGTTAAACCCTTTTAAGATTTAGTAAATTCGTGAATTTATCTGATTGATTCAATAAGTGCAACATTTATTTATTCAATTTAAATAAACTTACATTTTATTAAAACCGTACAAAAACATAAAATAACGTACAAAAACACATGAATCAAGGAATTTGATACCCAAGGCAACTAGGCAAGTACACAATCAGTTATATTAAAATTTAAAATAAACTACAAATTTATTTATATGGTTTGTCAAAAGTAACATTTTTAGTCCTTATAATTGTTAAAATTACAAGATGATCATCATGGTTTTGTAAAAATGTTTGAATTTGGTCTTCTCTTTCTAACAGCCATTAAAAGAATTCAGTTAAATAAGAATCATTTTCGGCCCTTTATTGATTCTTTTGTAACCAGAGCAATAACCGATGCTACAGTGTAAACTAAAGCTATTTTTACCCAATCCAAAATCATAGGACCAAAATCATAAAATCGATTTTGATTGAGTAAAGGACAAAAAAAATAATACTAAAAAGACGAATATGTTCCTCGTTTAACTTGATTTTTTAGCGGTCGTTGGAATGAAGGACTAAACTTAAACGTTTTTATAAATCACAATAGCCATCTTGCAAATTTAAAACTACATGGACAAAAATAATTATAGTTTGTGGACTACATAAACTAAGAGGTCGTTTACCAAACGTTTACCCAGAAAAGTACTTACCAGCAAAATTCAACAATATCGCTTACTTATCAGGTAATATTTTAGTTCACCAAAACGATATCGTATGCAATAATTTACCCGGTAAGCACTAACCGTGGTAAGAATCATCGCTCTCATTTTATTGGGTAAGACCCTCGGTCCTTACCTTGATTGTTATCGGATAAGATTTTTGGTCATTGTCATATTCATCCGCTAAAGTAATATAACTTAATAAATGTTTATTCGGATAGGTATTTGATAAACGAAATTTAAATTTGTATTTTACTCTAAAACTTAAAAAGAATATTTAAAAAACTCAAAACAGAAAGGAATATTTAAAATGTTGGTTATGGTCCGACCGTACACGTTAGCACTGACATACATAAATGTCGATGATGATTACGAGATATTTAATATTATGGTTATATCAATTATTAGATTCTTTATAAAACCAAAATATCAAAACACCTTCAAAAATTACATTTAATTATAATAATTTTCTATTTTGAATTTCTTTAAGATTAATTATATTATTGGGAAAAAAATATTAAATAATATTTCTCTCTCTTTAAAGAAAATTGCATTAAAATGAATAAACTTTCACTTGATTACTATTTTGGGAAACTAATTTTTAAAATCGTCATTTAAGGGTCTCTATCAGATTTTTTGTTTATTTAAGGGTTTAGTTGACCTGTTAATGCTGACATCATCCATATCTTTTGCCAACTAAGATCTTCCACGTCATTTAAGGGTCGTTTATGTAATGATGTTCTGTAAGATTTTATTGATTATTTTTCAAACTACAGTTATTTATTTCAGTTTTCAGTATTGTAGTTAAATTATGTACGGAAAAATCTTTTAAAACAGATATTTCCATGGTCTATTTATAAAATTGAGTTGTTCGTGTAAAGTCGTGAACTTTTATGGACTTGTATGAAATATCGAGTACAGATTTCCACACTTGCTTCAGGACTAGAGATGTCATATGTTGATATATATTTTTTCTTGTAGTTACTATTTATTCCAACAACAATTTTCAAGTACCGATGTCCATATGTTTTTTACTTTGACTTCAATGTCGTCAAATATCAATTTTTTGTCGTTTCTACAACGACGGTCTGACAGGTTCACACAATAATTTTTAAAGTACGGACTTTTAATTCCAGTTATTCTCTAACAGATTTTCAACTCTAGCTATAGAAAAATCTAAATCTTGTTTTCAAATGTGTAATGTGATATTTTTGCTTTAGAAAAAAAATTCAAGAAAACCCAATGATTTTATTAAGGGGGTGTTTGGGATTGCTTATTTGAAACAACTTATGATTTTCTACAAAAATACTTATTAACTGATTACAAGTTAAAAAAGTTTAACTTATTCAAAAACTTCTTATTATTGGTTTGATATCGGTATAAGTTGTTTATCCAAACACTCAAAATTGCTTATTACCGGTGTCATACCGGAATAAGTCAATAAGTTGTTTTTATAAGCAATCCCAAACACCCCCTAAGGCTTTTATTTTAATAATTTACACTTGTTTGTCAGTAATAACGATGAAAATCACTTGGGTATATTTAGAGATATTGGTAAATGATTTAGTTATTCATAAGGAACAGTAAGATGTTCATAACAAATGCAAAACTGTATATTCATCGTTAAGGATTAAAGTATTCTTCTATGTTCTCTTTTAAAATAGGTTTCTAGGAAAGCGGGGTAGGAGTTTAGAATAAGGGGTCTAAACCATTTTGAAAAATTGCGTCAATCGTTCAACTCAGATGATTTATTTTCCATATTGTGTTTGAATTGATTTTTATGTTTTTAAATTGTTTCGTATTTACATTTCAATAATGTAATAAGTCGACAATAATTTTAAAAAACAGTAATAACCAGCCTTTTTCACCTGATAAACACTAACAGTTTATTAGTATATAATATTTATATACAACTAAGTAGCACACACACTCCTCGTATTTGGTAAGGATTGAACTCTTGACTTTCTGAGAGGTTGAGCTCTATTGTAACCCGAATAACGCTGAGCCAATGATCCATTAGTCCGATTCTTATCGGGTAAGTGGTGCTGAATTGAAAAATAATGTTATTTCTCACACTTTATTCCACCCCAAACTATAAATTCATGTAATTATCTTGTTATAATAAAAAAATTAGGAGTCAGAATACTAAAAATCATGAAAGTAGAGACAGACTCAAGAATTTTTTCAAACGGTAGCACCGTTTGACTATAAGAAAGATATGTACGGATTTTTTTTTCTTCAAATGATGACACCATTTGACTATATAAAAACAAATGTACATAACTTTTTTCAAATGATAACATTATTTGACTAAGAAAGTGACACTAACGAAATTCGAACTTGAATATGGGGTGGAATAAAGCTTTGCAAACCAACTCTACCAAATAAACATTGTTCTCATTGTATTTTAAAATACATACAGTTGCACACAACAAATTAATACGACTGCACATTTCACGAACCTAAAACTTTTTAACCTCGAAGGAATAATACGGTTATACGTGCCACTGTATACTCTCCCTCAATGCATGAAAGATGTGAGAAACAAAGGTTTGTATGCAAACTTTTGAAAAAATCTATTTGAAGATTCATATACGAACAAATATCACAAAATTATTCATATGAGTTCACATATCAAATTCATATATGAATTTGACTTTTAAATCCGAAACAAAGCAACAATCACAATAATTAAAAGTATAATTAGTTTAAAACAGGAACGAGACTTAATAACGAGTAGCAGCCACCAAGACCAAATTTGTAAATTTACTATAACACTGTACATAATTAAAAAAAATGCAGTTTTAAATATACATATTATATTTTTTTATTAATCAAATGACATGTTTATTTTTATTTAATTTTTTAATTTTTTAATTTTTAACAAATAATTTTTTGGAAAAAAGATATTTTATTTGTCGATGGGATAAGTCCAAAACGTATTTTGACCTTTCGTACCCTCATTTATGTGGACAGATACGTCAGCCGACAAACTTGGAGGTCGGCAACTGTCGGCCGGTGACCGGGGAGTTGAAAGCGGGAAAATCCCTCTCATTTTTCTCTTTTAACGATAGAAATACATGTGGTCTCTCTCTCTCTCTCTCTCTCTCTCTCTCTCTCTCTCTCCCCTTCCAATCATCCTTTTAACTAATACTACTTAATTATTCAGATCGATTTCTTCATGTTTGATTCCCATTTTCCTATTATTAAAGCATTTTGGACCCAGATCGTTCTTTTCTCTACATCCATACCCTCTCAATTCTGTTTCTGTTAAGATTTGGGGGTAATTTGGAACGGTTTCATTGGTTTTTTTTTTCTTCCGAAAAGTGGGGTGATATGCGTGGCATTTGTATATGAGGAACCCTAAAATGATTAACGTCTTCCTTCATGTTCCTTTGATGAAGCCTCATTGGATGATTCTGTTTTTTCCTGGTTAGATTACAGGTAATCACTCACTTATCTTATCGCTGCTACTACCGTATAGTTCATTCGGTAATCACGGAGTTATCCCCTTCTTCATGATTCCAGTTTTATTCTACTGTTGGAAATTAATCAATTATGGTGTCAATTTTGATTTATTTTGTGTAATTTATTGATCAAATGTTTGGGGTTTTCATATAGAAATGAACAGAATGTGTTAAATGTAATCGTGTTCATAATTTTTGAATTGTTTGATGAGGTCTCTCTGTTCTTAATCACTGGTTCGATTAAGTCAATGAGCTACAAGCATTGTAATTCCAGTTGAATTCTAATGATTTCAGGTTATTGGTGAAACTTATAACTTTCTGCTGGTTGATGTAATCATGGACCATTCAGAGATAGAAGAGAAATTGTTTGCACTTGGCGAACCAAAGGTATTTGGTGCTACCCACCTCAAATGAAGAATGAAAAAGAAATCCATCTTGATATTTCAACATTTTGTTTATTGTCAAGATTTTTAAGTTGCAATTACCATGGTAGTTGGTACCCATTGTAAATTGAAGATAGTGACTTGGGTCCACACTCTTATTTCTCGATATTGAAGGGTATCTTAGACCTTTATAATTGTTGCGGATTATCAAACAAAAACAAATACCAACTCGGCTTATCTTTTGAGCTTATTGAAAAAGCCTCGTTTGCCAAACATAGCCCTCTAATATGGTTGTGTATAAGGATGCCGTGAATGAGATGAAGGAAATGATACAGATGGGTAGAGCGGTTGGTTTCACTTTTACTTGAACAAATAAATCCCAATTGTAAATGGATGAGTTGCAAAATTTTAACATGGACTTCTTATCTTTAAAGGCAAAAACTTGCTTGATTATGAGTTATGATTCAATACGTATCAACGATATTTGTAGTGTTTGGCTCAAATTAGACCTTTATATAGCTTGATGTTTACCAGTCTCTACTGCCCTTGAAGCTTCTTGTATATCTGTGCTAATTGATCTCAATGTTAATTGTAGTTACATGGAGGAATGTGCTCAACACTCTCTTCCATCTACATCAAAGTGTTGAGTATTTTTCCGGACCTTGAAGCAGCTCGGCCTCGGAGCACTTCAGGAATTCAGGCATTATGTTCATTGCATATAGCGTTGGAGAAGACAAGGAATCTTCTTCAACATTGTGCGGAATGTAGTAAACTTTATCTGGTAAAAATCTCTCTCCGTCTTTATTTCTTTCAAGACTGTTTTTTTTTTACTTTGTTTGATGAACATGTTCATATAATTGATACATACGACTTCATTAAGCGTAAAAAAAAATATCTTACAAATATGAATCTTTTGCAGGCCATAACTGGAGACTCGATCGTTCTAAAATTTGAGAAGGCAAGATCTGCTCTGCAAGATAGTCTTAAGCGGGTTGAAGATATCGTCCCACAAACAATAGGTGCTCAGGTAATACAAACAACTCCCTTTTAAGACAACAATATATATGATTATTGAGGGTTATTCATCATGAATAATACATGAATAGTTGGTTTCTGGGTTTTCAATGTTTTTGTGGTTCTCATTTGAACTTTCCCCAAGTTGCATATATATAATTAAAGATAATAACTGTAACTTCTCATGTTCCAGATTTGTGTTATTTCTGGTGAACTTGAAGGAATAGAGTTTTCTGTTGATCCATTAGAGAAGCAAGTAGGTGATGAGATAATCGGATTGCTGCAAGAAGGGAGAAATTTCAACAGCAGCTGTGACGTTAACGAGTTAGAAACCTTCCACCAGGCTGCATCTAGACTCGGTATCACTTCTTCAAGGGGAGCTCTTCGTGAGAGAAGGTCTCTCAAGAAACTCATAGAAAAAGCTAGGATCGAGGATGACAAAAGGAAAGAATCCATTGTGGCTTATCTCTTGCATCTCATGAGAAAATACTCAAAATTATTTAGAAGCGATTTCTCAGATGACAATGATTCACAGGGTGGGTCGACCCCTTCTTCACCCACACTCCGCGGATCTTTTGAAGGTGGGACCCATGGTTTTGAACGGCAGCTCTCGAAATTGAGTTCTTTTAACTTCAAACCGAACTTCAGGAGATCTGGGCAGATGTCAATGCCACCTGAAGAACTAAGGTGCCCGATATCATTGCAACTGATGTATGATCCGGTCATCATTGCCTCCGGGCAGACATACGAGAGGATTTGCATTGAGAAATGGTTCAGTAGCGGGCATAACACCTGCCCGAAGACACAGCAGCAGTTGGCTCATCTTTGTTTGACTCCTAATTACTGTGTGAAGGGTCTAGTTGCTAGTTGGTGTGAACAGAATGGTGTTTTGGTTCCGGAAGGGCCACCTGATTCCCTCGACCTCAACTACTGGAACCTATCTTTGTCCGAGACCGAGCTGACAAATTCAAGATTGGCTGAAAGTATCGGATCCAGCAAGTTCGAGAGAGAAGGAGATGAACTTGAGGTTGTGCCTGAGCATGAAGGCAAGGTCTTTGAAAGATACGAGGATTTCTTGACCATTTTGGACATGGGAGATGAGACGAGAAAGCTTAGAGTCATTGAGCAGATACGGCATTTGTCAAAGGATGACGAAGAGGCTCGGATCCTTATGGGTGCTAGTGGTTTTGTTGAAGCATTGCTACAGTTCTTCGAGGCTACGGTGCGTGAAAGAAACGCTGCTGCTCAGGAATGTGCAGCCATGGCGCTTTTCAACCTCTCTGTTAATAACAACAGGTATGTTACGGTCATGTTATCTTAGTATACTACCATGTAGTATGTACTAGTTAAAGTCTTTGATTAACTGGTGAGCCATCGTGATATTTTTTTTCCAGGAACAAAGAGACGATGTTAGCAGCCGGAGTACTTCCTTTGCTAGAGGAAATGATCATAAACTCGAGTTCTCCGGGAGCAGTGGCGGCTCTGTGCCTGAACCTTTCCTGTTTAGAAGAAGCGAAACCCGTCATTGGTTCAAGCGAGGCCGTTCCTTTCTTGATCCAGGTTCTCGAGAATGGGGAGGATTCCGAATCTAAATCCGATGCTCTTCATGCTCTCTACCATCTTTCAACTTGTCATTCTAACATCCCCAGGCTCGTGTCATTAGGCATCCTCAACACCCTTCAGCATCTGATTGACGATAACACGTGGATCGAAAACGTGATTGCGGTCTTGACCAACATGGCTAACTCAGCCAAAGACGAGATCGTATCGACTAACGGTTTGGTTAGTGGGCTTTCGATGGTTCTTGATCTCGGCGAGCCTATGGTGCAAGAGCAAGCTGCAGCTTGCCTGCTGATTTTATGCACCGGAAATGAGAAGTGCATCCAGATGGTTCTTCAAGAAGGATCGATACCTTCTTTAGTGTCTATTTCAGCTGATGGGACGGTTAGAGGGAAACAAAAGGCGGAGAAACTATTGATGCTTTTTAGGGAGCATCGGCAGCGTGAGCCACCGGTGGATCACACACAGCAGTGCAATATCGGCGAGATAGGTGTGGGCCTGGTTGATGTGGACCGGAAGGCTTTAACCAAGCATGGGTCCAGGAGAAAGATGGGGAGAGCTTGGAGTTCTTTGTGGAAAAGCAAGAGTTTCTTGGTGCACCAGTGTTGAACCATGGTTGGATGGCTTGGTGCACCATACGATTGGGACTCGGACCTGTTGTATAAGTTTATTGGTTGTCGCAGGACTTGGTCCCATATGGTTCTGACTTGTAAATTCGTTTAATCTAATTTCCTGTCTTATAGGAAATAGCATCTTTTGTTTTTTGTTTCAGATAAAGGTAAAATTTGCCTACATCTTATCTCAACGCTGCATTGGATATATTGAGTTTGTAGAAATATGAGAAAGTAACCGATAGCTTGGTAGCTAGGGTTTTATTATGATATATGTGTGTTTACAAGAGAAACATAAAGCCTATATATAGACTAGGAAAATAGGGTTTTTAAGCCCAACAAGAGAAAAAGCCCAATAGGCTAAAACCCATTTATGCTAACATCCCCCCTCAAACTCACAATGCGACAGCAATAAGCATTGAGAGTTTGTCTAACAAGAAACGAAATCTGGAGGCTGACTGAGCCTTGGTGAACATGTCGGCAATCTGCAAAGTGGAAGGAACAAAAGGTAGCGAGATAGTTCCGAGCTGATAATGATGTCGAGTAAAGTGACAATCAATCTCGATATGCTTTGTCCGTTCATGAAAAACAGAGTTCTTTGCAATCTGYAGCGCACTCTTATTATCMCAATGTAGAGGAGTRGGCTGAGAAATAACAACACCCATGTCTTCAAGAAGCCAACGTAACCAAACAATCTCACAAGTAGTCACCRCCATAGCACGATACTCAGCCTCAGTGGAGGATCGAGAGCAAACATCCTGTTTCTTACTTTTCCACGAGATAAGAGAATCTCCAAGAAAAATGCAGAAACCAGTGGTGGATTTGCGATCATAAATATCGCTATCCCAATCAGCATCACTATAGGCACGCAGCTCAAAAGAAGTCGTCGATGGGAGCAAGAGCCACTGAAACTGAGTGCCTCGAAGATATCTCAAAATACGAAGTACAGCACCCCAGTGAACCGTAGTAGGAGCAGTGACAAACTGGCTAACCACATGAACGGCATGAGCAATATCCGGACGAGTGATAGTCAGATAAACTAAACTCCCCACAATAGTACGATACAGGCTCAGATCTGGCAAAGGAACACCATCGGTCGGAGTATAACGAGCATTGGTTTCAAGAGGCGTATCAACAGTACGATTGTCAGAGAGACGTGCTCGCGTAAAMAAATCGGATATATACTTCGTCTGTGAAAGAAGATAACCTTTTTTGGACTGAGCAACCTCAATTCCTAAAAAGTAACGAAGCATTCCCAAGTCTTTCATAGCAAAACGGTGAGCCAACTCTCGTTTCAGAGCCTTTATCCCAACATGGTCATCACCAGTGATAATCATGTCATCAACATACAAAGACAAGAGAATTCGCCCTGCATCAGTACATCTAACAAACAATGCCAAATCATGGTGACTCGGAGTAAAACCAAGAGAAGTAACCACTGTAGAGAATTTCTCAAACCAAGCTCGAGGGGCTTGTTTGAGACCATATAAGGCTTTCCGAAGACGACAAACTTCACCTGGCTGAAAGTCAATCCCTGGAGGGGGAGTCATGTAGACCTCCTCATGAAGATCACCATTCAAGAACGCATTCTTGACATCCATCTGAGAAATCGTCCACTGTCGAATAGAGGCAACGACAATCAAGGTACGAACAGTAGTCATTTTTGCAACCGGTGCAAATGTCTCCTCATAATCCATGCCATACTGTTGCGAGTACCCTTTTGCAACGAGTCTCGCCTTGTAACGCTCAATAGACCCATCTGCTTTGGTCTTGATTTTGTACACCCAACGACAACCAACCGTGTGCTTTCCCTGTGGGAGGGGCACTAAATCCCAAGTATGAGTCTGGTGAAGAGCAGTCAGTTCCTCAGCCATAGCATTCTGCCAATGGGGATCGGAAACTGCCTCTCTATAGGACGTGGGCTCAGATAAACGATGTATATTGGAAACAAAAGAAGCAAATGCAGGTGAGTAAGAAGAATAAGCGAAATCAKGAAGTTTGGTGGACTTACAAGTTCGAGAGGACTTACGAGGAGGAGGCACRGTCGTAGTTTCATCTGGTAAGGGAGCGGTYGTAGGTGTTGGGGGGGCTGGATCCGTCGAAGGCTCATGATTATCGGTGTTGATAGTTGTATCATTAGTGTCATCATCGGTGTCAAGACTAAAAGGATCAATATTGCGAAGATCTGACTGGGTAACACTAGGAGTTTGAGCAGGAATAGAAAAGAAGGGAATGTGCTCTAGAAAAGTAACATGACGCGAGACATAGAGCTTTTGACTTGTCGGATCATAACAACGATATCCTTTTTGTCCTGTACCATACCCTAAAAATACACATAAGGAGAATCGAGGGGACAACTTGGTCCTCTCAACATGTGGACGAAGGACAAAACAAATACAACCAAAGACACGAAGAGAAGAGTAATATGGTGGGTGTCCATAAAGAGTTTCAAAAGGTGACTTGCCTGAATTTTGCTTGGTCGGAATTCAATTAATTACATGGGTAGCGGTTAGAAGAGCTTCCCCCCAGAAAACACTAGGAACCTCAGAGGACAATAACAGAGAGCGAGCGGTTTCAACCAAATGTCGATGCTTCCGTTCGGCGATACCATTTTGTTGCGGTGTGTCGGTACATGATGACTGGTGTATGGTACCATCAGAGGCAAGCAACTTAGTGAAATCATTAGAAGTGTMTTCACCACYTAAGTCACAYCGAAAACACTTAATGACAGCGGAATGTTGAGTTTTTACAAGGGCTCGAAAATTACTAAAAATAGAAAAGAATTCAGATCTTCGTTTCATAAGATAAACCCAAGTGTAACGAGTGTAATCATCTATAAAAGAAACATAGTAAGAGGAGCCTCCCTTTGAAGCAACAGGAGAGGGACCCCAYACATCAGAATGTATAAGATTAAAAGGAGCAGAAGAAAAAGAAACACTTCTAGTAAAAGGTAAAGCTGAAAATTTTGCAAGTTTACATCCACTACAATCTGAAATGTCATGACTACTTAAACGACCCAAAACACCAGTGGATGCTAAAAATTGTAAACGAGGASTTGATATGTGACCCAAACGCGAATGCCAAAGATAAAAATCAGAAGACGAATGACTCAAACGAAAAGAGGATAGATCAACACTGCAAGCTACCACACCGGATAGATTGAGTTCTTCAACGACATAAAGCTCCCTAAGCCTACAGCAGATCCCAATCACCTTCTGAAACTGCGAGTCAAAAACATAACAAACAGTGTAAGAGAAGAAAACCCAATAGCCAGATTTACATAACTGA